GTTTCTTAAAACCATGACTCTGTAACACATGTCACTGCAGCCACCATAATGTGAAGCCCGATGAAACAAACACTGAAAAGCATAGATTGTTTACCTCAAATCTGACTCCACTCATGCTGGCATTGTCACTCAGACACAAGACGATGTTGTTGTGTTCAGATAGCAGCCCTAAGAAGTTTGCTTTACAGGCCTTGCATCATTGTGTAGGTGTTGTAAGGCTGTCTTGTCAGTCTTTTGGAGTAAGCCTTACTCCCACTTGCTCACAGCGGGAGCTCTCTAGCAACCGCAGACAAATTGAATGTGGTGGCATGTTTCATGATCCTGTAGACTTTGAAGGTGAAAGATGCTCAAGGGCTCTATTTGTTTGTTTGTGTGTGTGTGTTGTTGGTGTGTGTCAGAAAGTATATTATGTGACGGGACTCAGTTAGTATTAAGAAAAACACATTTGAGAATTAGATATTTAACAGTATGTTATCTTCACTGATCTTTGAAGTCCTTGAAAGGGTGTGATTTGAGAGGATAAATCAAGCCTTTTTTTTAAATAGACATACAGACGAGGGTAGCTTTTTATTTTGATATTATTTTTAATTAACATGAGTAAATAGCTTCCTCCCGCTGTCACTATGTGTCTTTGAGTAAGGTGGACATGTGAGTCTTTTATTTTACAATCATAGTAATATTTCATTATATGTCATTTATATTAATGCCTATTAAACTTCATAACGAAATTGATGGGAAAAGTAGGACATTTATCTGGGAGAAGAATGGGTGAGCAATTCGCACTCTCAAAGGTCATCGATGAAGTCTTCATATTATGGCTGAAAGCTTTGACAGTCAATCAATGCTTGTCAGGAAATTAATCGGTTCCAATATATCCATATAATTTGATAATTGTGTCAGTCTTTTTTCAGCATAAATGCCAGTTGCTGCAGTGAACTGAATCCCCTTTAGAAACGTCAATAACAAAACTCTTAATTACCGAATTGAGAAAAGGATAAGCATATTAATCAGTTATGAATATAAACTTCATATAGCAAAAAAAAACATCAGCGATGTGACTTTTGAGAGTAACACATTTTTGCTTCATGTCATTATTTTCTTCTCATTGCTGTTGTCCCTCCGCTGTGCCCACTGCTCCCTTTTGTGTACCAGATGCCAAATGTTGTTGCTCTAGCCATAATGGCCCTGTCATGTTTAAACAGAGCCAAAGCCCAGAAGATTTTAACTTTCCTGTCTGGGCTCGTGTTTGTGTTTACTGCTCTTGAAGTCTGCACGTCTCTGTGTTCATTTGAGAGGAGCAGATTGAGAAATGTCGGCCATTAGATTCAGTTTATTTTAATGAATTGTTAGAAGCCACGCCTCACCTCCTGCAATTACAAATCGAACTCCCTCCCCCCATGGACAAGCTAGTGATTGACACGCTGATTATTAGGCTGCAGAACTACTACTGCGAGAACAAAACCTTCTCTCCTTTCCCTTTCTTAACTCTTCGCCTCCATCACACGGGAACTCCAAATTGTGTTAGCTTTCATTAAAAAGAAATAAAGGAGCCAGAGGCAGCTTGCGTACCTGACATGCGCTGAATCACAAAGAGGGAGGACACAGGGAGGACTGGCTGGTGAAGGACAGCTCTTAACGTTTAAGTATCTTAATACATCTTCATAACAGAGTGGACAGTACTGTCTGATGACCATTGGGCCACTTCGATCTGGCATCAGTCAGCTTTATTACAGCCTTGAGACCTGCACAGTCATGTATGTAGTGACAAGATCTGCTTCGCTTGTGTCAAGAGCGGTAAACTAGATTTGGGTCTTGCTTTCAGTGAATTGTTAACAAGTAGAGCACTTCTTGTCGAGGGAATGTGATGAGTCATGACAGCCATTGCCTTAATTTGGGTACACTTGAGTCTTGCCTCGTAACTTTAGTGAATATAAACACGTTTTATTTTCTTTGCAAAACTAGCGAGGTTACACATTTCGTCAGACGGCATTTTCCGGCCTTGCCACACAATGTGTCCACTCTCTAAAACAGGACAGTCTGTTCCCTACCATCACCTATTTTATTTTGTATATACATCACATTATGCTTAATTTCCTTTGATAACATTGGTAGTTTATTTTTAGTGCACTGCTTTTTATCAAGGCAGTCACATACGCTCTCTTCTCCTTGTGAACAATTGAAGAAAGACCCTGTCGCTCAGAAAGAAACTAGATCAGCCTAACCCAATTAAACACTCATTCTACCAACACACCAATGTACTTTTCGAAATCAACATGATGAACCACTCTTTAAATTTAGACCCACTACCACAATATAGGATTTTCTTATCTCATACACTACACTCTGACATCCTTGCTGTCTGCCTACAGATGCCCTCAAATACAAAATGCTGACCACAGAGTTCTGTGGAGGGGACTGGGATTGGAAAGGGTTGATTTAATTAGCAATTTGCTAACCAAATCCCAAAAATGCGGAGACCTTATGATCAGTGTAAATCAACATGCTGTTTTTACTCCTAAATAGGCAATTAATTTACTGCACAGTATTGAGCTGAGGAGGTAATCCATGCAGGTTGCTATACATGCTGAAGCTAAATCAATTTGTCAAAAATATTGAGTGTGGTTTCTGTGGTTTGCATAAAGTAGCTGCAGCCGGGAGATAGAGCAGCAGTTGAGAGGGAGAACAATTGGGCAAAAACAAGCATAAACACAATCGTATATAACATTTTCGAATATTTTTCGATGTTGGCTTGTGTTATGTTGGTTTAACTGAAGTATTTGGAGACTTTCCTTACATCATGGTTGGAATATATCCTTTTTTTTTTATTAAAGAAAGAACTAAAGAGAATGTGAATTAAAAAAAATATCACAGGCAGATGGTTAAAGTTTGTCCGGAACATATTATTGGTTCACACACTAAGGCACTGCCAAATGAACTGTGTTTGTGTGTCCCCCTAGAGTTTGTATCCTCTCTTTTTCTACTGGCACTCCAGTCATGCATTTCTATTTTCACACCTCCACTCTCAGCTGTTGGTTTCTGCAGAGAGGATGAGCATTGGACATATGGCTTCTAAAGTAACTGGACACACTTCTCGCAAACCTCTGGGACATGAGTATTATACACTTCCAAAAAGTAAGTCACTGTTGTTTCTCACCTCTCCTTATTGGCTGCTGGGTGTTTAGTTCTCCAGCCTTAGAGTCTGTCACCTGGCGGTCACAGTGTCGACTGTACAGTAATGTCGCACTTCCTACCACAAGACCAGGGGCCTCATTTATAAAGGGATATACGCTCAAAAGATGGCGTATGCCAGTTTCTAAGCACTGTTTGCAATTTATAAAAAACTTGACGGGAAAATGTTCGGTCCTCCACGCAAACTCTGACCCATCTGTACGCCGTACGCACAAAAACGGGAGCGACGAGAAACTGCAACACCGTTAGCAGAAGGAAGAATGGAGAGAAATATGTGAAAATAATACCATAAATATAATGTTACCTCCCATGTATCATATTATATGAATAATTCATTCGCAAAAATTGATTGAAGCCAATCTTAAAATGATTAAACAAACGCCTGTTTGAGACTCCTCCGTGCACACAAAAACGTAACTTGGAGAAATAAATATATTGAAAACCACCTTGAATATGTTGTCTTATGTTAATGTTTTCTCATAAATGATGCAGTATGCAGAAGGACAGAATTACGTCTAAACTGATGCCGTTTTGCATTTCTATACGAGCATGGATTTATATACTATTGTGGTGACTCTAGTTAACCATAATTCACTTTTGGGTTACAGTTCCTACACGGACCTTGTTTAGTGTAACACCGAGTATTTAGGTTGCCAAGCTAGAGCTAGCAAGGACTCTAACTTGACTCTCATCACTGAGCACATGTTTGATATCTCTATGGCTTGATGGAAAATAAAGAGTGGAATTCCATCTTAAATACTCCGCCTCCGACTCCTTCTTACCGGCACTACACTGGTGACCCTGCGTTTTTCGAGATAGTTTCCGAAATTTTTTTGAACATGGCTGAACGAGATATTTTCGTTAAGCTGCCGGAGTTTTGGGAGCATGCCGCGGAGGCATGGTTTGCACACGTAGAGGCTCACTTCGCTTGCAAGCATCTCCACGACGAAGAACTGAGATATTACCACGTGGTGGCTTCGCTGGGGGTTTCTACTTCAGCCAGCTTAGTGGGTTTCATCGCAGCACCCCCACGCCTCGGCAAGTACGAGGCTATCAAGGCTCTTCTCCTGAAGACATTTGGTTTATCGACGAGAGAAAGAGCCCGCCAAATTATGGACATTCAGGGCCTCGGAGATGGCAAGCCATCTCAGTTAATGGAGAAGATGCTAAGCCTGCTAGGAGGGGAAGATACCCAGATTTTGTTCATGGAGATGTTTCTTCAACACTTACCTCCCCGGGTCCAGACAGCGTTGGCCAACACACCCATCACGGAGCCCCGCGCGCTGGCCGGAGAAGCGGACCGTTTCTTCCTGGCTACACGACAGTCTGGTGCGGAGACGCTGTGGCGCACAGCGGCCCTTCGGCGGGCAAGAAAGCATGGCGGAGGCCGGACACGGCGGCGCCGAGTCGGCGAGGAGATACCGGTGAGTGTTTCTACCATGCACGTTTCGGGACGATGGCAAGGAGGTGCATCGCTCCATGCAGCTACAAGCCTCCGGGAAACGGGGGTGCCGACGCTCAGTAGTGGCTCTGAGTGTCGGCGGCACGGGCAGGCTCCTTTTCGTCAAAGACAGTGTTTCAGGGAACCTGTTTCTCTGCGACACGGGTGCGCAGCGGAGTGTGGTTCCCGCGTCGAGAGAAGACATCACTCGAGGCGGGCACGGCCAACGGCTAACAACGGCTAACGGCGGACCCATTCGCACGTACGGATTACGGCTTATGTGTTTGTGCATCGGTGGACAGCGTTTCAGCTGGGAGTTTGTAACAGCGGACATTTATTTTCCTCTTCTTGGGGCGGACTTTTTGTGTGCTCATGGGCTGTTGGTGGACATTAAAAATAAACGTTTAGTGGATGCCTTAACGTTTTCTTCTCTCGTGTGCACACTCGGCAGCGCGGCGTACGACGGGCTGTCGGGCTCGCTGTCGGGGGAGGACATTTTTCTCAGACCTTTGGCCGAGTTTCCTGATCTGTCGCTGCCCACTTTCTCCGCGCTCACCACTAAACATGGGGTGGAGCACCACGTCACCACCGAGGGGCTCAGTCTTAAGGGCCGAGGTGAACCTTCTAGATAGCGTAGCGAGGGCGGAATTCGCAACCATGAACGCTGGGCATCGTCGCCGATCCACAGCCCCTTGGCTCTTCTTCTGCACGTCGT